TTGTATTGACAAGGAAAAAGAAAAGCTGACATCAAATTGGCTAACAACTATGTCATTTACAAACTATAATAAAGTTGGCTATCAAAAGAAAAGATGGGAAACTATGACCATAAAGAAAAACTGAATAAAACTTTGTATTCTTTATTCAATTAGTGCAATTTTTACTAAATGGCTTTTATAACTAAAAACGAAAGTATAGAAGTAAATATTTACTGTCTTTGGTTAGGATAAAACTTGAAAATAACAGAACAGTGGTGGTTAGCTGATCAAAACAAAATCTGCATCTGTTAAAATAAGCTAGTTTTTAGTTGACCTGTTTTAAAAAGTTACGGAAACTAATCAATCTAGGATAATCTATGGATACTTAGTTGATCAGAAAAAAGCGGTTTACAATTAAGTCATTCTTCTTACTTATATTACTGCTTAAGGTTTAAACGAAAGAAGTATTTGACTAATTTAAACGATGGAAAAAAAGAGGGTTTTTAGGTGTACTAAATGTTAGCGGATATTTCTTTTTCTGTTCTTTGATTTCTTACTCTTTTGTTATTCAGATAAAAGCCAATTAATAGATTTTTTTAAGAATTTAAAATATAAAATTAAGTCATTTTATGCGGTTAATTCCTTGTTATAAATATAACTAAAACTAGTGCAGAAGAGGATCTTTGATGTTGCTGTGGTTGTTGTTGTCTGAAATCTGGAAGCATCTGAAAGTCCAGAATGCAACAGAGAAGCAATTTTTATTGAAAAAAGTTCGTTTTATGGATTTAAAGTTTATTAGTTGCTGCTATAATGGCGAAGAGGGGGGTTGAGTATGAAAAATTCAAGTAAAAATAAAGCTTAACAGTTTACTTGCTAACTTCACATCGCCCACATTTAAAGCATAAACAAGATTAACTGCACTAAAGTCTTAAGTAAATTTTTTTTCTTCTAATTTTTTAGATATACAACTAATTTGAGCATTAGAAAAATTATAGCACAAAAGTACCATTTGTTAATTTAGATTTGAGTAGGACAATTGACTTTCTTCAGTGAGTTAATACTGACTGATATATGACAGGTATGCTGAAGTGTTATTGTTTAACTGTAAGTCCTAAAGCAGAAATAAGTTTTCTTTATTCTTTCAATAATAAGCAACGATACAAACACTCTGAAACAACAGAAGAAAAAAGAACTAATTATTTTTTCATATTTTCAATATTTAATTTTTACTAAAAAGTTATGCAGTTAACTTATAGTGCATAAACTTTAATAACAATTATTATCTCATTTTTTTGCTTTGTCAACATAAAGACTTATATCAAAAAACAATGACAATATAATATTTTGAAAATTGTTACTTAAAAACACCTCATTTTTGTTGTATAGTCATCATTTTATAGTCTGCAAATTTAGCTAAGCTTTTCTTCCTTGCTGGTCTAAAAGTTTATGACAAATATAAGAAGTACAATACAGAGAATATTTTATACAACCAAATATTCAATTTAATTTTGTTTGTTAACAGATTATAATTTTAAAGTTTAAATTAGTAAAACATTTTTCAAATTTACTTTACAGAACTTTGTATTTGAGTATTGAAACTTTACACTTTTTTTTTTTTTTGCTGATTAGATATCTGAGTCTTTCTTGAGAGTATTATTGATTTAGCATAAAGTTTAATTTTTATCTGATAAAAAAAAAACCTTCATTAACTGAGCAGTATTCGTGTTAGAGGATTCAACGATTATTTTTCCCATTGCAGATAAGCATAACTTTTTAGGTCAGTAACCTAATAAAAACCTTTTTTTTTTTTTTGAATATTTTCTCGTTGCTTTTGGTCATAGTTTTTCTAAAGTTATCAATTATTTGTTAAGAACAAAAGTCAAAAATTTTATCAGTGCCCGGATTTCTATATCTGTTGTTGACACATTTAAATAGTTGTTCCTATCTACCAAAATTCATTTCCTTTCTACCTGTTATATTCAAAAACTGTTTAGTGTGCTTTTGTAGATCAATACCACAGATTGACCGTAAAAATTAAGTGATAAACTTTCTAAAGCCAGGTAATTTTTTTGCATTATTTTTGTGTATTTTGTTATGACTGTTTTTTTTTTTTTGTAATTTTATATAAATGCTTCTAAATTTTCAGATCTGAGTATTGTATAAAACAAATAAAAACTGATTTTGTTGCCAAATTAAACCGTTTTTCAAACCTCATATCTTTTACATTGGTATTTTTATAGTCAGTGTTCAGTAATCAACTGCTCTCTAGTAGAATCCTCTTTCAAAGAACCAAATTTTAGTTTCTTTTTTTTTTCTTCTGGATAGATAACAATTTGTTAACATTGCTAAAGCACTATAATACTGTCTGACAAAAATACAGAATTTTATATGATCTATGTTACCCATATTTTTAATAGTTCATTTTCGCTAGCTTTAGCCTATATCAATCAAAGCTCACTATCATAGTTCCACAAGAAAGAGCGATTTTTTTTGTAGTTTTTGTTCATTTATTTATTTAACTACCTATTTTTCATTGAAAAAAAGGCTAGATAATGACTTTAGAAAAAGCTGATCTTATTCTGAACATAACTGTGTCCTTTTATCTATCAAATCTTACCAATGTTTACATTTGAGACAAAAACAACTAAATATATTTTTCAGCTACCAGCTAACTACTTACTAGTACCAGTAACTGGTATAATAAGCAGTTTTTAATTATTAAACTGTAAAGTCTGCTCGACAAAATGCGTCTGTATCAGCCTTCCTATAGAGAGGTGCCATGTAAAGCGTTTATCGATACTGCTATGATTGTGGCGT